CTGTATCTGCCAGCCAGGTGGATCAACTAGCCCGTCAACCTGGAGTTTTTCCACCTTGCATGGCTCGTCTCCACGAGGGTCTTATGTCCAATCACCATCTTCGCCACTGGGGCCGCATGCAATATGGCCTCTTTCTCAAAGTACGGATCCTTCTTATTATCATCACCGAGGGCCTTTTTGCCTAACTTTTCTAAGCGTAGGTTGTTGGGTGGCGCCAAAACATAAAAAAATGGTTGTTGGTAGTTCGTCTGTAAAAACCGGTACGCGGGCAGTCGTTGTGAGTTGCGCGTGAGTTGCAGTGAAAGCCATGACCAAATCTTCGAAGTCTTCATAATATGTAGTGGCCAGGCAAATGCCTAAGGCAGCTAAATCCTAGCCGCCAATTTTCACTTTTCTTCGAACTAGTGTTCTTGTTCCCCTAGTTGGCTTTCGATTCGATCTGTTTAGAGTAGCCTATTGTAATCGCGACATCATTAATGTAGTTTTATCCCCTGATACGCCGACCACGGCGGGGTGTCTCCGGGTCGGTTTGTCAATATCTGCAAAGTAACCCATTTGATCGCGCAATTGAACATTGTCAGTCAGGGTCTACTCTGAAGCAATATTAAATATACCTGTTTCGCATTTTGGACCCGCATAATTTAAACAGGTGCGTTGGCAAACCATAATGCTTAACGGTCGGCCACAGAGAATTCTGATGAGCATCCTACACTTAGGATGCATATGCCACCAAGCAAACACACGTCAGCTTTTGACAACAGCTGCAATAATTTGTCGTTAACTGAAGTAAGGACTGCTTCTCAACACAATACCGCCCTATGAAAAGCATCATTCAGTTGTTCTGTCAATACTCTCTGTGCGAGACCTGTTGTACGCTAGATCTCAACACATTAAAACGTTCTGGTGCTGACTACATTACTTTTAAATTATATTAGGTCCTCTGAAGTTTCTGCCGTGATGTCTCACAGTGGTGCACAATTTCTTTTGTTACATCCTACCCGCAGTGACCAGACGCTGTCTTTGGAGATTATCCTTATTTTAGGAGCTGAAAGACGTGGAAAGGTCTGGTTTTCACCTTCCGCGAGATTAGGCCACTGTAGTTTCCTCAGGCTTGGTGCGGCGACTACGATGGAGCCGTTCAGTACTTATTTGGGAACTTTACCAGGACAAGCAAATAGAACTGGCGCCGAATAACTAAAAGGGCTGTATGATCTCGTATGACACATGCAGGCCGCGCGATGTAATAATAAAATAGAAGGGAACTCGGAAATAAGTGGGCTCATACCCGAGCATTAGTTGGTAGAACAGTGCCTGATCCATGGAAAACCCATAATAATCATGTCAGTCCTACCTCACACATCATTTTCCACAGTTGTCGACTGATCGATTCAAGCCACGTGGATTTACGTGAAAATGGTAAAAGTGAAACTGTATCACCATTACAAACGGGTTTAGAAACTGCTGAATTTCAGCCGTTATTTTGTCTCAGTTTAATCGGTTCAAGACGGCAGAAACTTGCCAGGGGACCTAACGTTTCCAGCCCAGCTACCCTCACCATCTGCAGTGCACCAGCCAAAGCAAAATAAATTAGTTTCGAATAAAGCTCAATCCTCAACTACAGCTACAAACAAGGGCACCAGTAGTTTAAGTATTGCACCTCATATACCCCTACTCCCAACATTTTGTACTACGGAAACGGTAGTTCTAAAGGCTTTATGGGTGGGGAATTAGGATAGGCAGTAACATATACTTTGATAACTGCTATATGCGTTTTTATTTTATTGTATTTAGAAATGTTGATTTATACCTGTAGCTTTTCCTAATCTGTATTACCGTTTGATGTATTGCGGAAAAACTATTATTAAAATGCAGGTTTCTTGAACTTCCTGAAAAAATAGAAATAGTGGTTAGGAGGCCGTCTACATCAACTTACCTGAAATCCGAT